AAGATTAATTATATTTAAAAAATATATATAATTTATTAATTTTAATTTTTTAGTTATTTTAAAGATATCCTGAAGGAAAATCTGATGGAAGATGATGGATACATGTAGAAGAAGTATTTAGCGAGTAATTTAATGATAGATTTAGAAGAGATTTGATTAGCATAATAAACCTTCTAATTGATATTGATGGAAAAGAACCATTATTAAATTCAGTATTTTTATTTTTTTTTAAAGAAATTTATTTGATTATATTGTTCTAATCTATACTTAATTATTTACAATATATATTTTAGAATCATCAACTCCTAATCGTTCTCCTAACCATCCTCTTCCTTTATGTCACTCTCAATCTCTCGCTAATTTCAACTAATCTGATTTTAACGCCCTTCCATTATATCCTAACACATAAACATCACAATAATCCTCTTCATCCAACTATTGTCTCTCCTTCCTTTATCCATTACATTATTTTAATTTTGTTATTTTTTGTAAATTTTTTTTCCAAATAAAAAAAAACCTGAATGAAGCTTACCACTTCTACGTGGTGTTTAGAATCAACAGTTATAGGTTAAACCATATCTGGCCAAAAATAAGCATATATCATAATAAATTTTAAAAAAGAAATCAACCTTAAATAAAAATATCAATCACAGTCAAAACTGCCTAACCATATGAGTCATATACACTTATGAAGATGTTACCATTCTGTGATTTGGTGTACTCATTATAAAGTTATTAATCATTTTGTATTATATAGCATTTAAGCATTCTATATAATTTATATTTCTGTTATAAAATATTCCCGTAATATAAACCCACAGTCTATAATATCCTATCATTAAATATACCTAGTATATCACAAAGTACCTACAGGTACTATTTAATTTTTAAATTGATAAATTGTAAAAGACCCAGGGTATTTCAGGTAATGCTAGACATTAATTAAAATTCTGAAACTTAATATGTTATATTATTGTTTTTAACTTTATTATTAATTTTTTTGATATAAAAACCAATTATTTAACCTATGATGAATAATATAATTATTAGTAAATAATTTAATTATTTAGATGAGTTAGAATGTATCATTTAACTAAAATATTATTATACAAAAAGTTATCTATTTATCATTATTATACTAACTTTAGGATATTGTTTACTTTTAATAATTTTAAAATAAAATTAATAAATAGTTTTAATAGATACAAGTATGACAAGAGAATTATTAGTTAAATTATTTTTAGGTATTATAGCTTTCTTGATATTATAAGATATCATTATCTATATATTAAACAAAATAAATATATTTTTAATTTTTTAAGAATGTAAAGATGAAAATTTTGAGCATAAAAAATGAAAGAGATTTTAAATTTTTATCTATATCTAAAAAAAAAAAGATTATGAATTATTAGCTAAACTAATTTATAAAGTAAAATATACTTTAAAATACTTGATGAATGTAAAATAAAAAGTTATACTATTTGGATAATATATTATAGTATTTTAGATAATAATAAAAAAAGTTAAATTTTTGAAACATAGGATTTATTAAAACAATATTATCAATTACATCAATTACATTAAATATCATAAAAATGAAAATATTTTATAGAAAATTTATCTTATACAAATACAGTATAATTTAATTTAAAATTAATAAAATATGATGTAGTTAATAATAAGAATTAATTATTTATAGAAATTTAAAGAATAATTCACCATATTATTATCTTTAATTTTACTATATGAAAGGTTTGCTAGAAAAATGGGACTCTGAGCATTTTTTATTAAAATTTTAATTTTTATTGCATTTTAGTTTTTGATAATATTGGATTAAAATGCAATAAAAATTAAAATTTTAATAAAAAATGCTCAGAGTCACATTTTCCTAGCAAACCTCACATATATTATTAAGTAAAATTTATAAATCTGATAATTTATTGTAAGGCAGTATATATATAACATTAGGCAATTTTTTCAATTAATAATAAAAAGTAATAAATAAATATAAAAAATTAAAGAATTTTCTAATAATAAAATATTAATTTTTCAATACTCAATAAAAGTTTTAGTCAAATCTATCAGATCAGAATCCATTAAAAATATTAATTTACATATTAAAGTTTGTATATTATAATACTATCTATTTATATCTGAATTATTCAGAGATATATTTAAATATCATATATAATATTAACTTTTAATTCAGTAAATTGTAAAATACCATATAATTTATGTATATATTAAAAATTAACTTTAATGATATATTAATAGATAATTTAATGAACTAATTAAAAATACTCAAAATAAAGTAAAATATATTAAAAGATAGTATTGTTACAGAATATTCATTTATATAATATAGAAAATATTTTCTGAAATTATCATAAATGTTAATTTTTTATTTATCATTATACATTTTATTTAGCATATATTAATACAGTTACACACCTCAATATAACAAAGATTACATTTGGACTAATCAGCCTTTTATTATAAGAAAATTCATTATTACTATAACGAATTATTCAGTATAGTACAACAAATTATTTGGTATAATAAATGATTACTTAAAAAGGTAAATACAAACATAATTTTATTATGATATAATTAAAATTAATATTATGATATTATTTTATAGAATAACTTCTTTATGGTTAAAGTTAAAGTGATCTTGAAGCAATTTTGGTAATGCAAAAATTGTAATTAATCTCAGATAAAACAATTTATAACAATAAATATAAATTTATTTTTAAAAGTTTTTATAATTGAAAATAAAAAAGAATGGCTTTGTTTTAATACAAACAGAAAACTCTTTAGTAAAAAGGTAAGAAAATTTATTAATGATAGTTCAAAATTAAATTAAATTATTTATTTATATAAAAAAAATTAAAAATTAAATAAAAAACAATAAAAAAAATAATTGTAAACTCCACTTCTGGTAAAAAAAAGAAATTAAAAAAAATAAAACCTCATAATAAAAATAAAAAAATTGAAAATATCACACCATTTTGATAAATATAAAAAAATTAAAAGAAAATTAAATGTCTTATTCTCTTCATTCCTAACTACTAGTTCACTATCAGTATATTACGAACGTTACGGGCTTTCCTTTGATGATGTCTCATAATTAAAAAATGTAAAAATACTTAATATAAATCTAAAAATTCCTAAAATTTTATTAAGAACTATTATTTAAACATTTTTAATAATTATCTGGTTTATCTCAAAACTTAGTTCAAAATAGATTATAAAATCATTTTCTATTATATAATTATTTTTCCCCTTTTCTCGCACCATTATGCTAATCACAAAAATTCTAAAGGATACATATTAATTAATTATACTATTAAGTTATATTTATCAACATATTATTATTTATTTATTTATTTATCCCATAATCTCTCACTAAAGTTTATTAATAGGTATAATATTAATTTAAAATAATTAATATATATTAATTGATTTATTTTTATAATAAAATATGATTATTTAGTTTAATTAAACTGATATACTGTATAAAGAAGGGTTAGATAAAATGATTTTTATTTTTTTTATTCTTGATTATTAACAGTTATATTTGTTAAAAAAATTTATTTTAAAATATAATACTTTTATATTTAGGCTGTAAATGCTCTTTTATAGCAAGTTTTTTTAAGCTAAAAGTTTAAGAACTTCTCATTTTATTAACAAATTTTTCATATAAGAAAATAAGTTTAAAATAAGCAAATTAATGTGTTTTAATAAGAGATAACAAACATTTTTTATTGAAATTATTAATACTTTTATTTTAGGTTATTATTCAAAAACTATTTTTTAAAATCAAAATCCTAATTAATCCTAATATTTTTTATTATAAATTCTAATTAATTATTATTATTTTTGACTATAAATTATAAGTAATCTTATAAAATTTTAGTAGTTTATATATAAGAATTATGGATATTGTTATAAGTTACATTTTGATATATTATTATAATTTATCTAATATTGATTATTTAAGATTAATTTTAATATTCTAATCTTGCATTCGTTTGGATTTTAAAAGTATTTAATTATATTTTATATAATTATAAAATTTTAATAATAATAATTAAAAACTATAATATTATAGTATCTTTTATATAATTATTTTTTTTTTCTTATAAGTATTTATTAAGATTAATAAATTTATTAAAAATCTTCTTTATAGTTATAATTATATAAAAGGACAATATTAAAAAATTAATTTTTATAATTAATTTTTTTTTATTTTTTTATAACAAAATATGTTATATTTAATATAAATGATTATTAATTAAATGTTGGATAATATTTTAGATTAGATAATTAATATCTAAATTATCTTATATTATTTGAGTATATTAAGTAATATATGTTGCTACTCTAATCAAATTGTTTCAAAATGATGATAAATATAAACGTCAAATGATATATTAATAATTGGATAACCCATCCCATATTCACCATCCATATGGGTTAGCATATCTAGATAATACGTATTGAGGCTAAATAAAATATTTTGGGAAAAAGAAATTCGATTTTATAACCATGTGGTTAAGTCTAGACAATAATAAATTTTATAAAAAAATGAAATGATTCCTTATTCGAATATGAGGGAAAATGTATTCACACAATCAACTCATTTTTTTTTGTTTACCAAATAAATCCGGAAATCTTCGGCCGTATTACATCATTCATTATAAGCGAATTTAAGGAAGCTTTAGTAGATCTTTAAGCACCAATCAGAAACACTTACTAATTAAAAAAGTATAATCCATCAAAAATCAATTATTGTTTTAAATAACAATCGATGATAAACGTTGTTCTTCAATTGAAAGAATTTATATTAAGTGACACTTGATTGATTTGGAATTTAAAAGGGACCATTTTTCTTTTTTGGTGGAAAAATTCTTAATATATAAGTAAACCAATAGCCCGTTTTTTTTTTTAAAAAAAAAAAAATATTCATCTGTTAAAAAAAAAAAAAACTTAATATAATGTCATCATTATTTGAAAGTCGTGATTCATTTTCAAATTTTCCTCCACTAGCAAAAGCAATAAAACTTTCTTCGAGTTTGATTTGTGATCGTCCGGCAAAAGAAATACAAATTCATTTAAACGATTTAATACATTCAATAAGTCAACAAATTTCGATTATAACTTCAATACCAAAAAGAACAACTTCTTTGTCATCGGATCCTTTCAGAGCCAGCAGAACGCCCAGCCTTACATCTACAACTCCAAGATCTCCCATGTCACCAACCACACCTCGAGCTCCAACGGCTTTACATCCCAAATCTTCCGTAACCTTCTCATCAATTCATAATTCTATCGATGATAATTTATCACATAAGCAAATCACAAAACCTTATCATTGGGCAACACTTTATGTACTAATAAAAATATGTTTAACGGATTTAGAATACTGGGAAAAAGGGACAGGACATCCTGAAGGTCGAATTTCTGATATGTTTTATTCTCATCCAAAATTATTATATATGTGTCGAGAAACTAAATTAAAAGATCAGAGAAAATTAATCGAAAACATCTTGACGGATTTAGGCAAAATGAAAGAAAATGTTTATAAATTGCTACGAACAAAAAACTGAACGTTATAGAAAAAATCTGTATAGCAAATTAATATTTCTTCAATATTAAGATAATTTTTTTATTCATTATGTAGATTATATTTTTAATAATACCATACTTTGCATTCTTTAAAAAATTTCATGTAACATCTTATAGTCTTCTAACTTTATTAAGGTAGATAGATTTATTATAGGACCATTTAATTAGCATTAATTATGAATTAAAAAGTAGTTTTTTTCATTAAGTCATTTAGAATTACCGAAAAACGTAAATACTTTATTTATCTTCTGGTGATAATAATAAAAATAAACTTATTTTATAAAGCCTTAAACGAATGATAGTTTAATATCTCTCACGCCAAATTTTTTGTGACCCTTAGAATGTAATGTTTCAACGCTCGAATTACATAATATCAGTTTCTTACGTTTGTTTGATCTATCCGGGTACCTAACCTGTTTCGGCCCAATAAAGATTAACCTTTGCCAATCATGATCTATTCATTATGATAATCACATGGGAAAGAATATCCACCACAAAAAAAACTTCGCTTTATGGTAGCCGGATTTAATTGCCGGTAATATCCTACATTGACATGTGGCTGACAAATTTGATAAAGTCACATGATACCGGCAGATACGTTTTTAAAGTATAATCCCGTTACAGACGGTTAAAGTGATCAAATTATGTCATCAAACACGTGTCGCGATAACGCGTTTTCATTTTTTTTGTTCATTCTCCTCTCAGCTGAAATATCACGTTGAAATAATCAAATTCAAAACATTAGAAGTTAATATTCTTAATTAATATTTATTATATTTAATAAAATTAATTAACTTATTTCCAAAAACTTATATCATAGAAACAGCATCATTATCAATCTTATATGAATGTAAACTAAATTAATTTTAAATAGTTTGAGTTTCCCACCATGGCATTTGATATCGTTTTAAAATGTTCATAAATTCTTGCGACAAATTGTAGGGATACCTTCCTGTCTCAAACCAATTAATGGAATAATTCTTGAAATATTTGTTGTACATTATATTATAGTCTATTTCAATACATTCTAAATCTAAATGTCCATGACTTATTTTTAGATGCTTTTTAATGCTACAGTAATAATATAATAAATAATTTGAATCTACCTCGCATATTTTGCATCTAAATATTTCTAATCCATTATTATTGTTGTTGTTGTTGTTATTACTTAATGTTTCTTTATCATTATCATCCACGTTTTCGATAATATTTCCTCCTAATCCAAATGCAATTGCAGATTTTACATCGACAACCTTTTTGAAAATTAAATTTTCAACTAATTGCAACGCAGCCTTCGCAAATTTAGCCTTTTCCTCACATAAAATAGCTTCTTTTACTATTTTTGGTATGATGACAAATTCGATAAATTCTTCGCTCCATGGATTTCTTGGATCTTGGTCAATGTAAGGTGGCGACTTATATGTCGCGCAATGTTCCTTCCAATTGATTAACGGACCAAGCATATCCAATAATCTTTTGTCAATTTGATGATATTTAAAACGAATTGAATCCTTTTTTTCTTCCTCGTGGTATTCTTTAATTATTTTATCCTTCCAATTTGTAAATGTAAACTTTACAAATAAATGATTTGGTAAGGCGATCGTTTCAGCGAAAGTTGGACATAAACGTAGTTTATTAAAACTGTAACAAGCATTGCGCATCAGTTTACAACTAAAATTTTTAATCTTATCCGATTTCGCATGATTATGTAACTTTCGGGAATCTTTTTCGGCTTTTTCCCGTTCTAAGGCATCCGTTAATAAATGTTCGCATTTAGCTCGCTTTTCCTCGATCCAATTCATCCGTTCTGATTTTTTTATTTTTGATAATTCAATTTCAGCAAACCGAAAGTCTGACTTCCAAAATGCCTTACATTGATAACCAAACATTCCTTCTTCTCGAAAGGTTGCATACGGTAAACCGGCTGTAAAATTTGGGACCGATTGCCTCCTACAACAACAAACAACTTGATGATCAGTAACACATAGATAGATAAAGAGACATGATAATAGGCAAATTAGATATCTTACTGTGATATACGTATGGTTCGAACCATTATGCAATTCCAACAAGACCGAACGCGAAAAATCCAATAAATTCTTATATTATCGAATTTTTCATTACAAAATTGACAACCCCTTTCCAACATGGAGACTAAACAATAATCCCTTTCGTTCATACCTTCGGGTAGGGGTAATTGTGGGAAAAATATCGTACTTTTTCTTGAAGTACGCCATATATTCATGGTCGTGGATGAAGTGGGACATGTTAAATATTCATGAAATTTACTGCAAACGAGTGAAATTGCATCCAAATCCCATGGGGTAAGGAATCGACAAATTTCAACGAATATTTCGGAAGGTATAACCGTAAAAAAGCATCGCGATTGTTGTGGGTCAACTAATAGGTTCAATGGTGAAGTTTGAGATGTTTGTGTCGATGATGAATTGAACCGATAGTAAAGTAATGGTGCAGAGGGAAACGAATGAAAGGAGGTTGTTGTAGAGGAAAATGTTGACCCACTCATATTTTTACAAGAGATATAAATGTTACAAATCTTCTTGACGACAAAACTAACCTAAAAAAAATGAAAGATCGTATTTAATCGACGTTTATATACATTAATATAAGGCGCAGCAAACGTTTTTGTTGCTCAAAATGTACAAAAATATGGTTACAATGAAATTGATTTAGCGAAAGAAAATAATTGTTGTTTTTTCCGGGATTGACGCGCGGCAGGAAAACTTATTACGATAAACCTGAATTTACCAAAGAAAAAATAAATGGAATGTTTGAATGGAACCCCCCTTTTTTTGATAAATTTGGGGTTTTTAATCGTTGAAAATGGGACTTATTCTAGTTTCGTTAGTCACACGGCCAAAGACCCGTGAAACGAAACAATTAATACGATACTTTAATTGTTAGTTTCCTTGTTTCACATCATTCAGTGAGTAAATTTATAATAATAAATTTAAATAATACCAAGATTTTGAGTAAATTTATATATATTTATTTATTTATTTATTTTAAAAATAAATTTCTGAGAAATTCGGCGTTTTAATTATAGTAATTATAGTTTATATGATTTATATGTATATGTATGTATTTATGTATATATATATAATACTCGATGCAAAAGGTTCATGTGGCATGTAATATGCACGCTTACAATATGAAAATTATTTATTTTTTTTCTTTTCAACTTTACTGTGGCAAATGTGCAATTCGCACATGGATTTCCACAACATAATAAAGTAAACAAGCAGTTGTGATCTAAACAATAAAATATATATATATATGTGCGTGATAAATCCTAAAATTGATTGTCGGACCTTTTGAAGTTTGGAATTGATAAATGCTTGCTAAAATATCACATCTAGAATAAAAACGAACCATTGAAACCGCAATATTTTTTATCATTTCACAGATTTCACCCCAAAAAATTGACGCGTTAATTAGAAATTTCTTCACGAAGGATGGTGTAAAGTTCAGAAATAAAGAAATCGAACCATTTTTAGAATGGTAGTAACGAAACACAAAATCATATATGGGCCTTTGCAATATAAAGGGGGGAAACTTAATTTTACTTTATGATTTTCAGGCCGAAATATGTTCAAATTTAGCATCAACTCATTTTTTTTTGTTCCGGCACCCTTTCTATTGCAAAGATCCCATATTTGGAAAAATTGAAATCAAGAAATTAATTAAAGAGAAAAAAATTAAGTCGGAAAAACTTCTTGAATATTTGGATAATTGTTTTTATTTAAATGGTTTCATACATTTACAGTATATTTGTCACGACATAAATTCAATAAAACAGGTTATTTTTGTGCTACCAATTTATACAATTTTAGAGAAAGGATAGGGACAATATTTAAATAGATATGCGTCGGATTGATTTGTACAAATGTGAGATCGGCTCAAGAATTTCTCTCTTCGTTTAATCAACGCCAATTATGATAAATGAGCGAAAGTAAATTCGGTAAATGGCTTCAAGGTTACACGATTTTTCCATCTTTCCATAATTCACGCCTAAGCTGTAACAAACTGGAGTTCAAAACTTCCCAAACAGCAAATTCCTCTTGTTCATTGTTGTTATAGGTTTTAGACTCTTTTTGCAATAAATCAAGTATATCATCAACACCCATTTTAATCCCCTCATTACGAGTAATGTCACTGCTTTTGAGTAGTCGATCAAATACCGCACAAATGAAACTGCATAATATTAAATTTTTTGCATTAGGATGATTTTTTTCGACTAAATACAACTTATATTTATGATGCTTTATATTATTTTTAATCACTTTATTATTTTGTGAAATGAATAGAGTTTTTAGCTTGCTTGTAAATAATGGTGGGGACTGAATGACCGAGGTTATGTAGGATGGTGAATTATTCGTTTTTTTCATTTTTTTTTTTTTTTTGCGAACCTGCGCAAGTGAAAAAAAAAAAAACTTGTGATGTTTGTTAAGGATAGAGATAAATAAATTCTTCAAATAATATGAATATTTTATTTTATTTATAATAAAATAATTCTTTACGAATTTCTTGAGCATTGTTTTATCAATTTGTCGATCAAAAAATTTCGTATTGTTTGATGGATTAAATTACCTGCAAGAAGTAACACGAACCATTTTTCTGTCAAATTTTCTAATGAGTCTACTTTTTATTTCACTCAGATCGTCATCTGAATCTTTACGGGATATTTTTTTACCAGGCCGGCTAAATTTAATGTTGACCAGATTTATAAATGTTTTTAGTAACGATCTATTTCGTTTATTTCCAATTAAGGAAACAATCATTAATTTTATTTATTATCTTTTATTTCCGATTCCGGAAACAATAACATAAAAGTATCATCCCATTATTTATCTAAATTGGTAATATTATACTAAAAGTCATTATACTTTTAACTCTCAAAATAATTTTTAAAGAAAATGTAGAAAATATTAAATATTGCACAAAATATTACATCTTCACTATTAAATATTTTGGTTGAAAAAGGAAATCATTATTATTTTATATAATATATATTAAAGTAAACCTAAAGTTTTAAAAAAGTTTATATTATATTAATAAGTGATAATTATTTTAGTATTAATTTAAAATATTCTAAAAAATTATATTTATTAATTAAATTTTAAGGTTAATTTTGATTCAAAAATATTAATAATAATATTATACTTATAATATTGTAATCAAATTACAAATTTATAATACTGTTATATTTTATAATATTTCATTATTATTATTTTTTTTTTAAATTATTTTATATATATATTAATTTTTAATGTAATGATATATTGCTAAACTCATATCCTATTAAATCATTTAAAATTAATATTTATATTGTTACCCAACTAATAATTAAGCGGACTGAAACACGTAATCAATTGAGTAACAGCAAAATTTAGCTCAATCTTTATTAAGTTTTGGGAAAGACTTTGGTTAATTTAGGCTATTATTGACTTCAGTATTCTTTTATGATTAAGTTTCAGAATTGACAAGTATGACGACTTCCAATTCATCACGTAAGACAAGTAATTTCCTCTAATGTAGAAAATTCTCAGTTGACGTTACAAAGTTTATTTGTAATCAAGTTGATAGCATAAATGAGTTGATAACGTTTAGGTAATTTAAAGATTACTTAAACCTGGATGATACAAAGCAGGATTGATAACATTAAGTAATTTACAATTACTTAACCAAAGTTTTCACAAAGCAAGTTAATAACGTTAAGTAATCCAATATTACTTAACAAAAGTTGACACAAAGTAGGTTAATAACATTAAGTAATCCAATATTACTTAACTAAGATTGACACAAAGCAGGTTTAACACAAAGCAATTTATTTGTTATGAGACAATTTAGTAAAGAGTTTTTATTATCTTATAAAATTAACTTCCTAAATTTTTATTGATACATGATGAAAAATTCAGCTTATTTATAACAAAATTTCTATACCAAATTGTTATCTATTACATAAAAACTATGTAATAATTTCCTCATTTTTCTCTATGTAATTCTGTTATAATAATTGAGTAATGACTACCTAATCGCTATGCAATAGTCTTATAACTATAATATATATATACTTGAAGAAATGTAGAGAATATAATTATATTATTCTTAAATTATTACTACATCCTTATATTTAGCCTTTGACTAGTTTCTTCTTGAAATTTCTATTTGGAGTTTTTAGTTTAGAAGGTTACATGTATCATTATGGACTAATGATCTATTACTTCATTTTTTCATTAACTGATCTGGTTAATTTTGCAGATCACTTTTGCAGATTATTATGTCATTGATTTTGTAAATCATTTTTATTGTGTCACATTTTCAATTCTTAAGGTTATAATATTTAATATTAATTAACTTGAAAATAAAATTTTATTTATTATTTAATTATAAATAAAATATTTTTTTATAATATTTATAAAAATATAAAAATATATAAATTAGAGCTTTGAACAAGTCAGATTAGGATAGGTAATTGATTTGATAAAGTCAAATTAAATCAGACATAAATTAACTATATATTTAACCTAATTTAATCTGATATAACCTATATATCATGTGATTTTAGATCAAATCAAATTTAATTATATCAGATCAGATAGGTTAGTAATACCTGAATTGATTTAACTTGTCTAAAAAATGATTTTTTTATTTTACTAGTTTAACAGTATTTATTTTAAATGAAAATAAATTAATTCAAATATAAAAGTAACATAATTAATTTAAAACTAAATATTTATAACTTTATAATCTTTTAATTAAAAATAAATTTATATGCATATATTTTCAAACTTACTAAATAACTTTACTTATATAACTAAAGTTATTTCTTTTGACCAAAATGTTTAAATTGCTTTTAAAATCACTAAATAGATAAAAAAAAAAAAATAATAAAACTTTTGTGAAATAATACAATTAAATAAAAAACTCTATGAAATAATACAATTAAATAAAAAAATTTCATGAGATAATATAATTATAAAAAACATATACAGTCAAACCTTGATATAGTGAACCCTTGATATAGCGAATTTTCAAATCAAATATATTAAAATTACCTTTACTATAGTAAACTAGCCAATTAAATTCTTTAAAAAATTCGTTATAAGCTTATAACAATATTGATATTCAGATCCTAGAATTCGTTATATCAAGAGTTCACTGTATAACTTTATAACTATTAATCAAAATATAATAAAATTTATATTTACATATTTTTAAATTACTGAATAATTTATTTAACTTACATTTGCGATACACAACCAGTAGGGATATTAACTATCTAAAATGCTTAAATTACTCTTTGAAATTATTGAATAGATAAAAAAAATGATAAAAAAATTTTGTAAGATAATATAATTATAAAACGTTTATAATTTTACAATTATTAATTTAATCATAATAAAAATTTATATACACACATTTTAAATTTATTGACAATTTTATTTATGTAATCTAAGTTAATTTCCTTTGATCAAAAAACTTAAATTGCTATTTGAAATTACTGAATGGATAAAAAAATAAAAAATTTTGTTAATACAATTACAAAAATTATGTATAACTTTTATAACCATTAATCAAAATATAATAAAATTTATATTTACATATTTTTAAATTATTAAATAATTTATTTAACTTACATGATCAAAGTTAGTTTTCTTTTACTAAAATGTTTAAATTACTTTTTGAAATTATTAAATAGATAAAAAAAATGATAAAAAAATTTTGCAAGATAATATAATTATGAAAACGTTTATAATTTTATAATTATTAATTCAATCATAATAAAAATTTATATACACACATTTTAAATTTATTGACAATTTTATTTATGTAATCTAAGTTGATTTCCTTTGATCAAAATGCTTAAATTGCTATTTGAAATTACTGAATAGATAAAAAAATAAAAAATTTTATAAGTTAATACAATTACAATAATTATGTATAATTTTATAACTATTAATCATATTATAACAAAAATTTATATTTATATATTCTTAAATCTGTTAAACAACTTTACTTATGTGACTAAAATCAATTTTATTTGACTAAAATGCTTAAATTACTTTTGAAGTTACTAAACAGATAAAAAATAAAAATAAAAAATTTTGTAAGATAATAATATAATTATAAAATATTTATAACTTTATAACTATTAATTTAATCATAATAAAAATTTATATATACATATTTTTGAATCTATTAAATAACTTTATATATATAATTAAAATTAATTTCATTTGATCAAAATGCTTAAATTGCTCTTTGAAGTTACTGAATAGATAAAAAAAGATAGAAATATTTTGTGAGATAATACAATTATGAAAAATATTATAATTATTAATCTAATTATAATAAAAATTTATATGCAAATGTTTCGAACTCATTAAATAACTTTTTATATATATCTAAAGTTGATTTTTTTGATCAAAGTGCTTAAATATTTCTTTAAAGTAATTGAATAAATAAAAAAAAATTAAATTGGTTAATTTAATTGCAAAACTTTTAATTATAATAAATAATAAAGTAATTATATAAACAACTTTATTAGAAATAAAAAAAAAGTATATTAAATAAAAATTAAAGATGTTTTAAAAAAAATATATCAAAATATTTTTTTTTTAAATTCTTTATTTTATTTGATTTGATTAGTTGACCTAAATTTTATCAGATTGAATTATAAGTGATCTGATTTAATATTAACCTGAAATTTGTTTATCTGATCTAAATTTTTTAGATTAAATTATAAGTTGATTTGATCTGATTCTAATCTTAAATATAAATATATTATTATATAATAATATTTTAATAAAATTTTAATAAATTCACATTATAAATTATTATTTATTATATATTATTTATTTATTTTACTATTTATAATAAATTATCATATAAAAAAATAATTTAAAATTTTAATTTGCATTTTTAAAGATATATAAAGTTCATAAATTATAATTAGCTATCTAATAAGATTATTATTCTAAATTACTTAAAATTATTTTGGTTAAATAAAATGAATTTTAGTAATTTTAGTTATTATCTAAATTAGATTTAATACTTAAATACAAAAATTTGATTTTGACTAATAATACTATTAGCTAATATATTGATATTTTATAATATTAAT